TTTATATATATATATATATATATATATATATATATATATATATATATATATATATATATATATATATATATATATATATATATATATATATATATATATATATATATATATAATGCAAGGACAATTTACAAAAGCTGTTAGACATTTTTACGCATTAGGTTGAAAATATTTTCAATTATTTATGTATTGTCTCCACAATAAATACTTTTAACAATGTTAAACTGGTCATTTTTTAAAAAGAAATTTAGAAAAAAAGTGTACACAACACATACAACAGAGTGTTTTGTTTTGACTCATTAAAGTATGTAGCTAAGAAATAGTTACACTTGTTTGTTTTTTTGTTTTTTTTGGGCAAGCAAAATTAAAAATTCATTAAAATAGTTATTAGTGTTTAGTCCTGTAAGTCTAAAATTTCATAATGGTTTTAACAAGTCTTAGACTTGATTTGATGAAATCTGCAGAATCTTTGATATTACACACCACAAACACCGATTAATTAAAGTGCTTTACTATTGTTTGGTTCAGAAACATTGTAATATTTACTATGAATTGCTTTCGTTTATTTTTTTCTTGTGTGGTTGGTACAATTTAAAGGGACTATTTATCCCAAAGTAGACATTTTATAGCTTTTAAGTGCATCCAAACATTGAGATTTTTATTTTTGGTGAACATAAATGAAGATGTTTTTTTTTTTTTTTTGTTTTTTTTTACAAATGTTGCAAACTGGTAATAAACATAGATGGGGGGGGGGGGGGGGTGTTGAACTAACTAGTTTTGTTTCTTTAACACCAAACATTAAATGCAATATTGTAAAAATCTAATTTAACAGTTACTGTGCTATCAAATGTACTATGTCCAGCTGCTCCTATAATGGAGATCTCTGAACAGCCAATCAAATGGAAGCAGCTCGGTGCATTCAGGCATGATGAGGACGATCTAAAGGTCAAACCGAGTGTCAGAACGGGAAGAAATGTGATTTAAGAGACTTTAAATGTGTTACAGGCTGGCCTAAGTATTGCCGGAGCTGTCCATCTGCAGAGATTTCACACACAACCATCTGTTAGCAGAAATATGTGTAAACGTGTGTGTTTTGTGTTTATAGTTAAATACAAAATTATTCGACCTCCTGTGAAACTCTAATTATTTCCCAGATATTTCCCAAGTGATGCTTAACAGAGTTTTGTCACTGTAATTACTATTATATTTTTCATACAGGAGATTGTCTTAATTATTTTAGGTGGCTCAGTGGTTAGCACTGTCGCCTCACAGCAAAAAGGTCACTGGTTCGAGTCTTGGCTGGGTCAGTTGGCGTTTCTGTGTGGAGTTTGCATGTTCTCCCCGTGTTGGCGTGGGTTTCCTCCGGGTGCTCCCACAGTCCAAACACGTGCGCTATAGGGGAATTGATTAACTAAATTGGCCGTATTGAGTGAGTGTGTGTGTGAATGTGTGTATGGGTGTTTCCCAGTACTTGGTTAAGGCTGGAAGGGCATCAGCTGCATAAAACAAATGCTAGATAAGTTGGTGGTTCAATCCGCTGGGACCCCTGATGAATAAAGGGACTAAGCCAAAGAAGAATGAATGAATGAATGAAATAGCAGGTCTTTAGACAATATGTTGTGCTTAAGGTTGCTAATAATATTGACTTAATTAACAATAATTGTTGTTTATTTCATACCAACTTAAATAAGTAAGACTTTCTACAGAAGGGAAATATAATAAAATTGGGAAGTATTTGAAAGAGAGCGATAATAGGTTTGACTTCAAATGTATATTCACGTTTCATCATTGTGTTCATTTCATCATTTCACCTTAATCTCTGTATACATTATATTTAATAATAATAATAACTTTACATAGCACCTTTAAAAGTAGCATCTCCAATCACTTTACAAACCTATAAAGAGTGCAGCAGCAAAATATATGTTCAAATGCATAGAAGACTAGACAAAACAATGCTATTTTTTATTCATTCATTTTCTTTTGGGCTTAGTCTCTTTATTAATGTGGGTTTGCCACAGAGGAAATCCAGTATATGTTTTAAGCAGAGGATGCCCTTCCAGCTGCAACCCATTGCTGGGAAACATCCATACACACTCAATCACACACATACACTACGGACAATTTAGCCTACCCAATTCACCTGTACCGCATGTCTTTGGATTTGTGGGGTAAAGCAGAGCACCCGGAGGAGCAATGTAATTACCGTATAATGAAATCAAATAATTGTTTATTTTTTAAATCACATAGAAATTAGGTGATGATTTGAAACATGTACACTATAACAAATTATCAAGTTTTTTTGTATTTTGTGATTCATATTTACATTTTCCCCATTTATTTCTGCTTTTGAATTGCATGATGGGATCTTGATCTTTCTTCCAACAAACTTTTTAACCTCTAAAAGTTGTAAAAAGTGATCTTTCTGAACATTTTTAATAATTTGAAGTGCTAAATATTGTGGGTTGGTGAAGTATGCAGTACAAAAACCTTGTAATAAACTACCAATACATCTTCTGTTCTTTCAGGCACTTATTTCTATAGTATTTATTATAAATTATATTATCACTAAAATGTAAGTAAAAGTCACTTTGTTAAACTAGAGTTGAATTTTCAACATCGAAAGTCAACAAAGCAGAGGTCAACATCTCATAATGCATTCACAACCACAAATAAACCCAAAACACACAAAATATGGGCACTGTTCATTACAGTTTTTTCCAATTGTTCACACACATTTTCTGAAAGCTCTGTCTCATATTGTCAGAACTCTACACACAAATCACAAAACACACACACACATTGGGCAAAACTCTTCAATTCTTCTGCAAAATGAAACTCTACGTTCAAAATTATGTGATTTCTTCTCAAAATGGTATTTTGTTTTCAAATGAAACACACAAGCCATCACATCAATAAACAATTATAAGAGCAGTTGAACACTGATGTGCTGAATGTAAAACACTCTGACCATTCATCATAATGACTTACTGTCAGCCTTTTATGTTCAGTGTTACACTTACTACAGGCAGACAGTAGGCCTACAGACGTGCACTGTAAAATATTTCAGAATATTGTTTTATACAAAACACACAAATACCAAATACATTTGACTGTATTTTCCCCACAAAAACTGTGTACACAGTGTTCGTTCTAACCAACACAAAGTTGTAGATAACGTTGTCTACATGTGCCATCAACAGAAGTATTTACAGAATACAGTTACAGTAAAAAACAAACAACAAAATAAAAACAGCTATACTGCATCCTCTTTTCTGTTTTGGTCTGGCCAAGCAGTGGGGGAAATGTCACCTTGCATGGTGAATCCAACCATGAAAAGCATCAACTGCTATTGCTTGGAAAAGGGGTATAAGTGTGTGTGGATTTCGGTCATACACTTTCCATCTCCAGACAGAAAAACAATTCCTCAATAGGTTTAAGGAATGGAGAATATGGAGGGAGATAAAGGACTAAAAATAGTTGGTGGTCAGTGAACCAGTTATGATCCATATGAGCTCTGATTTCTAAATTGAAATTCTGTGAGACAAGTGTTTACTCATGTGATGAGATAGGATGTAAAGTAAGGCAACTGACTTTACAATTGTGAATGACAGTGTGTTCCTTGTGAAAACAAAAGATTTTCTGCATGAAAATTGTATAAAATGCAGAAAATTGAGTGTAGTGTTTTGAAAAAAGTGTGTTTTAAACCTGCAATTTGAGTGTAAAGCAGGAATTGTGCTTGAA